ATATATATATATATATATATATATTTTTGTGTGTGATTGTCAAATCCCTGAAAATGACACTTGGAAGGGAGGGACAGATGTGTCAAATAAAAGAGTTTGAGCATTTTATAGAATTTCCCAAAGCACAGCTCATCCCATTTTCTCAGAATCTGTATCTCTCTAAAACTCAAGCCTATTCTTTTCTCCTCCTTTTCTCTAGAAACTCTTCATCTCATTTCATCTTTTCTTCAACCCGCCACAGTCTGAGCAATTTTGGGAGTCAAGATCTTCTTATCCACCGATCAAAATCAAGTTTAGAATAAGTAAGATCACTCTCTTCCTAGAAATTATGTTTCCTGGTACATGCAAGCCAAGTTCTTGGCTGCATGTGCTCATCATTTTCTTATTCTCGTTTCTAATCACTTTCTTGGTCTCTTAGGGTGATCCTTCCTTCTCAATCGGTAAGCTTTAGGTGTTCTAGGATTTTGGTGTGTGGTGCTCGCAATTCTGCAGTTTGATTTAGCTTGTTGTTCGGTCCAGTTATAAGGTAAGGGAAGCTAGCTAATTTAATTACTTTGTTTTGATGTATGAAAATGTTGTTTGATGATATTGAATGTATGTGAAATTGAATGAATTGGTGTTCGTTGTTGTTGGTGTGGAATATTGATGTTGTGTTTATGATGATTTTGTATCTGCATGATTATGGTTCAGTGGCTGAGTGAAATTGGAAGGAAGGGTAGTAGTGAAATGGGGGAATTGTGTTTGGTTTGTATAGGAAATCTGATTCTGAGTCATTCAGTTCATGATTCTGCAGAATTGACTCTTAAATCTGTGATGAAACTCTCTTAACGATATTAGAAATGTTTAAACAATCTTAGTCTAGTGTAAAGAAGTGTTTGATATATGTTGGAGGATTAGAAGTTGGTCGAATGTAGTGAAATTGGTAAGGTTTGGTGTTGAACATAATTCTGCAGTTATTCTACAGAATTATGTAGTTCGCTGAAGGTCTTTAATTGACCGTTCGGCTTCTCTCTAGTGCTCGATCTTAACTGAGTTCTGCTATTATGGATTCTCAGTTAATGACCGCTCGGTCTTGTATTGATATTCAAGTGAAAATAAGCGTTTGATCTATCATAGGCTTTAACTGTTTATGACCACTCGGTCACATACTGTCTTGGTAGTGCTCGGTCATTTACCAGCACTCGATTTTAGAAACGCTCGGTCTAGTACTAGCAGTTAAGCTAGTGTTAGCGCTCGGTCTCGATAGTGCTTGGTCATGTACTGATTACTCAGTTGTATTGTTGTTCGGTCTAAGCTCTAAGTGTTCGGTCTAAATTAATAGTGTTCGGCTTAAGCCAATAGTGATCGGTCTAAGGCATTAATATTCGTTCTAAATCATAAGGGTTTGGTCTAAAATTCAAGTGTTCGGTTTTAGCTTTAGAATTCGGTTGTTCTGATATTCCTCTTTAAAGACATTCGGCTCATGATTGAGTTTTACTCTTTACATGACCGTTCGGTCATATTCTCATATTGAGAGTGTTCGGCCATTCGGTCTTGTTCATAGGCTAAGGTTATCTTTCCCGTTCAGTTGTGCTCAAGGGTGATGTTTGTTTTACTGTTAAGTTTGACGTTATTTAAATGTGATATGAAAGAGAATTACAAAGAGGAATGTCTCAGTGGTGGTTTCAATGTGGTAAAAGTATGAATATGGTCAGACTAAGCTGGCATTCATCCTGACATTCTAATGGTCACCGAGTCTCAAGTAGTGAATGGTGGCACATGTGGTGAGAATAGTAGGAGGCCTGGTTGCGTATAGCTTGGGGTTCCAGCTATCGAACTAAACTCATGTGTAGTTTGCGGTTTCCAGCTACAGTGAGGGATGAAGGGCTAACCTCGTGTGGCGGCTTGGGTTTCCAACTATGGTATTCATGGGGTTTCCAGTTTACCTTTCCACGAGTGCAAGAATGTCGTAACTACATAATTTATACATCAGAGTAAAAGTGGTCGGTCATTACATATATATTATACGTTCGACCATTGCTGAAAATGTATGTTTGGATGTTATATGATTGACATGTTGGTTTTGTTTANTAAAAGTATGAATATGGTCAGACTAAGCTGGCATTCATCCTGACATTCTAATGGTCACCGAGTCTCAAGTAGTGAATGGTGGCACATGTGGTGAGAATAGTAGGAGGCCTGGTTGCGTATAGCTTGGGGTTCCAGCTATCGAACTAAACTCATGTGTAGTTTGCGGTTTCCAGCTACAGTGAGGGATGAAGGGCTAACCTCGTGTGGCGGCTTGGGTTTCCAACTATGGTATTCATGGGGTTTCCAGTTTACCTTTCCACGAGTGCAAGAATGTCGTAACTACATAATTTATACATCAGAGTAAAAGTGGTCGGTCATTACATATATATTATACGTTCGACCATTGCTGAAAATGTATGTTTGGATGTTATATGATTGACATGTTGGTTTTGTTTACTTTTATGTTTGTCAGAATTATATGTTTACATAGTTAACTAAATTACACTAACTTACCCTTATTTTTCTGTCTTGTCATGTTGTCCGTTCGGTCTTTTTTGTCATTGCAATGATCACCCTATGGGTGTGAGCAGAAGATATTGAGGGTTCTCTGGAGCAGGCACTGGCTGGAGAGGATGGTTTCCGCTAAGAGTAAGATCGTTCGGTCTTGTAATTGTTTTTGCAGTTAGTATAGGACAATTCGGTGTAATACACTGTTTGTAGGACCGTTCGGTTGATACACCTCTTGTATGACCGATCGATCTATTTTTTAATTTATGATTATTTTATGATAACTGCAAGTTAGCTTTATTCTACCTGTAACTAATGAGTAAATATTCTATTAAATTTTAATTAAGAACCTATTAAAGGTTTTTAGAAAATTTAGAAACTAATTGAATAATTTAAAGATTTTAATTGGGTTATTTAACGCGCATATGAATATCATAGAGATGTTATAATTAAAATGAAGACGGAAAACAATTATGAAGTTAAAACCAATTATCCACTTCCTTTTTGTGCACTGATGTACTTTGATTTTGTTCAACAGTTTCTTAAACTCAACAATAACTTACCTATTTGACCAAAATTTATCTCGAGTATTCTGTATAGTGAGTTTTATGAAAAATTATTTGTAATGTGTTTTTTTTTCTAGTTTTGCATTTTAGGGTTTGTTCGGTGTTCTCTTGTGAAGAAATATTAAACTATTTTCTCTCAAAATAGTTATTTCCAATTTCATTTTTTCTTTACTTCCATTACTTTATTTGTCACTATTATTTATTTCATTTTTTGTCTGCTCATTTTCATTCTTGAGATTTATTTTATTTTTTTCTGTGTTTATGATTTTTCTTTTCAAGTTTTATTTTAGTTAAATAGTTGGACGTGGCTTTTATATTTTTCTTACAAGGGATGAACGAAAGATCTTTTGAAATGAAGAAAGTAAGGTTTTTAAGAGTTTTCAATAATAATATCTTTAAAAATGTAATTAGTTCGAAATAAAATATATATATTAATGATTTTACAACATTTATAGATATTATTATATGAAAAATGAAGTCGGGGTTATGTTGTGTATTGTTATACTGGTATTTTTATGGTGCGATGATGCTACAATTTGCAGACTTAAGATTATACTTTATTAGAAATTTTTATAGTACAAAAGAAGAAGGAAGGAATGGGATGAAGGGATAAGTGAAGAAGAATAGCCAAAGATTTGATGTTTTTGGTATCAAGTTGAGATGTGTGACGTAGCAATGGTTTTAGTTTCCATTTCGTTTTGAAAACTTTTTTGGTATGAAAAAATTGAGTCAGTTTTGTCCTCTTGTGTTAATGTCTGTGCTAGTAACATTATGGGTCAGAGCTATCATCATTTATTAATGGATTTATTCTTTTTTTTCTTATTCATCTTTCCGAAAAGATAAATATAGGTTTTCCACTTCAAAAACATGTCCCTTGTTCAACGTTGAAATTATAAACTCAAAAGTGAAATCTACCTTTTACATTAGTCTTTAAAGTAAGATTTGGTTTGTTGGGTTCATTAATATTTAACTTTTCTAAACTTTGATGAATTAAAATTTGTTTATCTCTTAAATAAATTTTAAAAATGTTTGGTATCTGAATTTTAAAACTCAATAAAGTTAAATTATTAATTTTTTATATTAAACTATATTTTAAAATTACATTTAAGTTGTTCATATATTTTTAATCGTTTCAAATCAAATACTAACTTTAAACGTATTAAATACGTAAAAGAAATTAATATTATTAAATTAAAAAATTATATAATTGGCCTTAAAATTTAAGGTGATACAAATAAAAACTCATCATTTTGCATTTATTTTGAAATGGGTGAACTTTGGACATTGTCCGTTTATTACCTACTTTCTTTTGTACCCATGAATTAAAATAAAACAAGTTACAGAGCAGCACAGTTCGAATTTGATTATTGATACTTGTCAGAGGAAAAGATAAGATATTTAAAAAAAAAAATCCATGCTTGAATTATGACCACAGAAGCTGTTGCTGGTGAAAAATTGTTAGATAAATAGAGTGACCTATTACTCATACTTTTGCATCAGTTACAAGAAAATTAGAGCACCTGACTCCCATAACATGGCTTCCTTAGTAAGAGTCTGTTCAAGCTTCATTCTAGCAGTTTTAGTGTCTATCGCAGTTCAAATCCTTTTCTTCTCACCCATTGATCCAGTTTTGCTTGATCTAAAACCTTCCACAACAACCAGAGACAACAAATTACAGGTGAAAAGTTGATACTTGTAACATGGTTTTGTTATAGTTGAAGAATCAGTATTTTGACTTGCTGTGTTTCTCTTTTTTGGACAGAACATCATTAAACTTGGAGATGGGCATGTGAAGGAACCAGAAGATCTTTGTGTGGATAAAGAAGGGACTATGTATACTGCTACTCGAGATGGTTGGATCAAAAGAATGGTCAGAAATGGAAATTGGGAGAATTGGAAGCATATCGGTGGTGATACCTTGATAGGAGTCACAGAATCTAAAGAAGGTGGTATCATTGTTTGTGACTCTGCCAGGGTAAGCAAAAACTGAAAAACTGTTCTAAAAAACATGTTCTGTGAAGTTATGTTTTCACATTTGAAGAGTTTATGTTGCGAAAAATTATGTTTTTCAGGGTTTGCTGAGGGTTAGAGAAGATGGTATCAGTGTTCTCACTTCACAAGCTAATGATGGTTCTAAAATAAGGTTAGTTCCACAAATTCATGTTTCATTTTCAGATTGGTTTGTTCTGTTACTATCCCAGAATTTATTGCATGGTTACTATTTCTATGTTCTTCGATGTTTTCCTTTTTGTCCTTTCTATACGCTAACTCATTACTCAGAGGTGATTTTCAAAACGACAAAGTACAAAAAAAAACACCACGTGGTTATTGTGTTTGCATGTTCAGTTACCTAAATTCAGTAAACTATCAATCATTTACATGTTGTCGTGTTTTTTTTTTAATTTTAAATCAAATTATTTAAAATATAAGTTTATATAAAAATAATAATTTTAAATACAATTTAAATCAAATTATTTAATAAAATATCAATATGTAAATAAATCTAATCTTTTAAAATAATAAATTTAAATGGGTATACCAAAATATAAATTTTAAAAAAATAATAATCTTATTTGTAATAGTTTCAATTTTATTGATATAAAAAAATTAAAAATATATTAAGTCAAATTTTAAATAATTATTACATGAATAATATTTTTCATTAATTTTATTTTAATTACTTAAGTTTAAATAGTGCCATTATATATATAAGTATATGCATGTTAGATATCATTACTCTATCAATAATTAAGTAAATAATTAAATATCAGTATCCATTATATATAAAATCCATTAGAGATATTGATTTAGCATCTGTAATAAATTTTATCTGTTACAATTATATATAATTAAATACTAAAGTAGTTTACTTTTTAAAGTCAGTATTCGGATCTATTTGTCTTCAGTTTGTGAAGTTATGAATGAGGGTTAGAATTTGAATTTAAGTCTATTTTGATAAATAAATTCGTAAATGTTAGTGAAAAAATGACCTAAAACAGACAAATAGCAGTGTAACTGGGCAAGGTTCACGTTAGAATGCAGAAGTGTGGGACCAACATATGAAAGCGAAATCTGCCTATCCACCTCAGGACCACCCAATGACATCTTCATGTTTAATAGGAATGAGTGAACAAAAACCTAAGTATAAAGAAAAAATAAATTTTTATTTCATACATTAATTATCATTTGCCAACTCTTTATAAAGGTAAAATGATGTTAATAAAAAAAAATTATACTTTCAGAAAAAAAAAAAAAGAAAAAATTTNTTTCCAGTTTACCTTTCCACGAGTGCAAGAATGTCGTAACTACATAATTTATACATCAGAGTAAAAGTGGTCGGTCATTACATATATATTATACGTTCGACCATTGCTGAAAATGTATGTTTGGATGTTATATGATTGACATGTTGGTTTTGTTTACTTTTATGTTTGTCAGAATTATATGTTTACATAGTTAACTAAATTACACTAACTTACCCTTATTTTTCTGTCTTGTCATGTTGTCCGTTCGGTCTTTTTTGTCATTGCAATGATCACCCTATGGGTGTGAGCAGAAGATATTGAGGGTTCTCTGGAGCAGGCACTGGCTGGAGAGGATGGTTTCCGCTAAGAGTAAGATCGTTCGGTCTTGTAATTGTTTTTGCAGTTAGTATAGGACAATTCGGTGTAATACACTGTTTGTAGGACCGTTCGGTTGATACACCTCTTGTATGACCGATCGATCTATTTTTTAATTTATGATTATTTTATGATAACTGCAAGTTAGCTTTATTCTACCTGTAACTAATGAGTAAATATTCTATTAAATTTTAATTAAGAACCTATTAAAGGTTTTTAGAAAATTTAGAAACTAATTGAATAATTTAAAGATTTTAATTGGGTTATTTAACGCGCATATGAATATCATAGAGATGTTATAATTAAAATGAAGACGGAAAACAATTATGAAGTTAAAACCAATTATCCACTTCCTTTTTGTGCACTGATGTACTTTGATTTTGTTCAACAGTTTCTTAAACTCAACAATAACTTACCTATTTGACCAAAATTTATCTCGAGTATTCTGTATAGTGAGTTTTATGAAAAATTATTTGTAATGTGTTTTTTTTTCTAGTTTTGCATTTTAGGGTTTGTTCGGTGTTCTCTTGTGAAGAAATATTAAACTATTTTCTCTCAAAATAGTTATTTCCAATTTCATTTTTTCTTTACTTCCATTACTTTATTTGTCACTATTATTTATTTCATTTTTTGTCTGCTCATTTTCATTCTTGAGATTTATTTTATTTTTTTCTGTGTTTATGATTTTTCTTTTCAAGTTTTATTTTAGTTAAATAGTTGGACGTGGCTTTTATATTTTTCTTACAAGGGATGAACGAAAGATCTTTTGAAATGAAGAAAGTAAGGTTTTTAAGAGTTTTCAATAATAATATCTTTAAAAATGTAATTAGTTCGAAATAAAATATATATATTAATGATTTTACAACATTTATAGATATTATTATATGAAAAATGAAGTCGGGGTTATGTTGTGTATTGTTATACTGGTATTTTTATGGTGCGATGATGCTACAATTTGCAGACTTAAGATTATACTTTATTAGAAATTTTTATAGTACAAAAGAAGAAGGAAGGAATGGGATGAAGGGATAAGTGAAGAAGAATAGCCAAAGATTTGATGTTTTTGGTATCAAGTTGAGATGTGTGACGTAGCAATGGTTTTAGTTTCCATTTCGTTTTGAAAACTTTTTTGGTATGAAAAAATTGAGTCAGTTTTGTCCTCTTGTGTTAATGTCTGTGCTAGTAACATTATGGGTCAGAGCTATCATCATTTATTAATGGATTTATTCTTTTTTTTCTTATTCATCTTTCCGAAAAGATAAATATAGGTTTTCCACTTCAAAAACATGTCCCTTGTTCAACGTTGAAATTATAAACTCAAAAGTGAAATCTACCTTTTACATTAGTCTTTAAAGTAAGATTTGGTTTGTTGGGTTCATTAATATTTAACTTTTCTAAACTTTGATGAATTAAAATTTGTTTATCTCTTAAATAAATTTTAAAAATGTTTGGTATCTGAATTTTAAAACTCAATAAAGTTAAATTATTAATTTTTTATATTAAACTATATTTTAAAATTACATTTAAGTTGTTCATATATTTTTAATCGTTTCAAATCAAATACTAACTTTAAACGTATTAAATACGTAAAAGAAATTAATATTATTAAATTAAAAAATTATATAATTGGCCTTAAAATTTAAGGTGATACAAATAAAAACTCATCATTTTGCATTTATTTTGAAATGGGTGAACTTTGGACATTGTCCGTTTATTACCTACTTTCTTTTGTACCCATGAATTAAAATAAAACAAGTTACAGAGCAGCACAGTTCGAATTTGATTATTGATACTTGTCAGAGGAAAAGATAAGATATTTAAAAAAAAAAATCCATGCTTGAATTATGACCACAGAAGCTGTTGCTGGTGAAAAATTGTTAGATAAATAGAGTGACCTATTACTCATACTTTTGCATCAGTTACAAGAAAATTAGAGCACCTGACTCCCATAACATGGCTTCCTTAGTAAGAGTCTGTTCAAGCTTCATTCTAGCAGTTTTAGTGTCTATCGCAGTTCAAATCCTTTTCTTCTCACCCATTGATCCAGTTTTGCTTGATCTAAAACCTTCCACAACAACCAGAGACAACAAATTACAGGTGAAAAGTTGATACTTGTAACATGGTTTTGTTATAGTTGAAGAATCAGTATTTTGACTTGCTGTGTTTCTCTTTTTTGGACAGAACATCATTAAACTTGGAGATGGGCATGTGAAGGAACCAGAAGATCTTTGTGTGGATAAAGAAGGGACTATGTATACTGCTACTCGAGATGGTTGGATCAAAAGAATGGTCAGAAATGGAAATTGGGAGAATTGGAAGCATATCGGTGGTGATACCTTGATAGGAGTCACAGAATCTAAAGAAGGTGGTATCATTGTTTGTGACTCTGCCAGGGTAAGCAAAAACTGAAAAACTGTTCTAAAAAACATGTTCTGTGAAGTTATGTTTTCACATTTGAAGAGTTTATGTTGCGAAAAATTATGTTTTTCAGGGTTTGCTGAGGGTTAGAGAAGATGGTATCAGTGTTCTCACTTCACAAGCTAATGATGGTTCTAAAATAAGGTTAGTTCCACAAATTCATGTTTCATTTTCAGATTGGTTTGTTCTGTTACTATCCCAGAATTTATTGCATGGTTACTATTTCTATGTTCTTCGATGTTTTCCTTTTTGTCCTTTCTATACGCTAACTCATTACTCAGAGGTGATTTTCAAAACGACAAAGTACAAAAAAAAACACCACGTGGTTATTGTGTTTGCATGTTCAGTTACCTAAATTCAGTAAACTATCAATCATTTACATGTTGTCGTGTTTTTTTTTTAATTTTAAATCAAATTATTTAAAATATAAGTTTATATAAAAATAATAATTTTAAATACAATTTAAATCAAATTATTTAATAAAATATCAATATGTAAATAAATCTAATCTTTTAAAATAATAAATTTAAATGGGTATACCAAAATATAAATTTTAAAAAAATAATAATCTTATTTGTAATAGTTTCAATTTTATTGATATAAAAAAATTAAAAATATATTAAGTCAAATTTTAAATAATTATTACATGAATAATATTTTTCATTAATTTTATTTTAATTACTTAAGTTTAAATAGTGCCATTATATATATAAGTATATGCATGTTAGATATCATTACTCTATCAATAATTAAGTAAATAATTAAATATCAGTATCCATTATATATAAAATCCATTAGAGATATTGATTTAGCATCTGTAATAAATTTTATCTGTTACAATTATATATAATTAAATACTAAAGTAGTTTACTTTTTAAAGTCAGTATTCGGATCTATTTGTCTTCAGTTTGTGAAGTTATGAATGAGGGTTAGAATTTGAATTTAAGTCTATTTTGATAAATAAATTCGTAAATGTTAGTGAAAAAATGACCTAAAACAGACAAATAGCAGTGTAACTGGGCAAGGTTCACGTTAGAATGCAGAAGTGTGGGACCAACATATGAAAGCGAAATCTGCCTATCCACCTCAGGACCACCCAATGACA